AGAATAGTATATATTTCTGTATCTTATATATATATACGATATTTAAACCTCTCATTTGGTAACTTTTCCGTTCATATTTTAATGGTTTACCTAAATTCTGGTTATCAAAAGTATAGTCCGTATTATCACACGTTTAGTAAAAATTGCAAAACTAAAAAATAAATTAAGCAGAATAAGTGGTTTTTAAGCCATGTTCTAAGGAATCAGGATAAAAATTATCCCATTTAACAAATAGTATCACATGTTACAAAACCATAGTTTATTTTTAGTTTTATAAAATTCATTACCAAAATACTTCGCTAAAATTTATTGACTTTTTTGTTACCAGAAAATTACCATATTCTGGTAGCTTTGACCGTATTTTTGTTGAAACATCTCAGAAACTTATATCAGTAATTAGAATCTCATCTAAGAAAGTTGAAACATCTCAGTGGTTGCATTACATAAGAAATATTATTGAAATGGGATGTCTACTTTTTTTTGAAAACAGCGCGAAAATGTATGGAAAAGATATGACTATAAGAGAAGATAATTTAGTTTTCCCCGCATTTAATTCGTCTAATAATTTTCTCGGAAAACTGATGTATATGGAAGAAAACTTAGTAAACGTTGTAAAAATAAATGCCTGAAATTACATAAATTAATAAGCAAATTACATCCAATTTTCATTCTTCATTTTTTAGAATATTCTTCTTTGAAAATTATGTATGAACTTCACCAGTTAAATGCTTATCACTTTTTAAGAGTATAAATTATTTCAAGGTATTTTCCTTATTCTAATAAAATTGTAACTGGGGAAATAAAATTGTAAAAAATATTTTTGCTCTCTCCCTGAGAACTATAATTTAAATATGATGTAAGGAAGTTACACAAAAATGCCTTTTTTTTCTAAATTTCAAAAAAGAAAATTTAAATTAAAGAAATAATGAAAGAAAGAAACCATAATGCTAATCATGAGCAGAAATTTCATGGCGTGAAAGAAGATTATATTAGGCAACGTGTAGGAAGAATTTCCAGCATAAACGTCATCAAAAATTTTGTGAATAATTTATTTTTAAAAATTTTGTAGATTCAATTATTTTTACATCCTGAAACAGAAAACAGTAAAAGACATATTAGTGTTACGAATGTACTAGATTAAAGAATATATTTAGCTTACTGCATAATTTAAAAATATAAAAAACTTTAACAATCCAAATAAAATGATTGATCCTAACTTATAGCGTAATGAATTTGATTTTTCAGTTGAGAATGTTGATTATGACATTTAAGAGGTATAGAAGAATATATATACTAAAACATAAGGGGTGATTTTATAGCAAACTTTACCAAAATCGCACTAATATGTACTAATTGCAAAACTATAATTTATCAAATAAAGTTAAGCAATGAGAAATAACTATATAACCCTAACATTTTATTAAAAATGAAGAGAGTTAATAAAATACGTAAAAAAAATAAAAATTAATCTCATAAAAATATTTAAGACACATAATTTATTTGAATAATACATTTACCACAGCACAAACAAATAAATCCTAGAAAACAGAGAAATCCCGACATAACATTTCATAAAACCTATTAAAGCGAAAACATAAAAAAATATTGAACTGCTTATGTTAGCCAATCAATAAAGTAACTAAGAAGGAAGTAAAAAAATTTCTTATCACATTTAGATAGTTTTTGACATATCTTGTGTCGAGAGAGATGTCCAAGCCAGAGCTGACCTATCAAGCAATATTTGAGCAAACAAGTTCGCAAGTTAACGTTATGATAGTATTGTGCTTATGTTAGCTCTTTGCTCCAAAAATAGATGATGAGTCGGCCTGTTTTATTCAGGGGCTCTAGTCCAAGCCAAAGCTGAAGTACGTCACTTGAATGAATTAAATTAATCGATTATTGTGATTTTATGATTATGAATGGAACCTAGTTATTTGCACGATTCCTATTAGATGATTCGTATTCCATCCCAAAAGAAGAGTATTCCATTTTTTATCTATTTTTTGTTGTTCCGGAAATGCCCAGTGTAAGCTCATTACTTCAAAAAAGTGAAAAAAATAAAAAACTTCAGACGTATTGAAAAGTAAATCATTCTTTCAACTACACGTTGAAGCCCAAAAAGATATTTTAGGTAAAGACTTCGCAGTTTTGTGACCAACGGCGTAATTCTGGACATGAGTAACATTGCGCACAAGACGTCTTTACTTCCTAAACGAACTGATGCCCATCGATAAGAAACTTGGTTGGCTTCAAACTGCCACTGGGAATCGAACTTCAGTCCTTTTCAGCGAAATTTAAGTGTTTTTAACCATGAATGTCGGATGTGTAGACCATAAACTGAAATCTAAACACTTCAGGCTTATTACATAAAAAGTAAAAACTACAAGAGATTCCAAGAGAAAATATATTCGTATAACTATTTTGCTAAAATTTTTGCAGATAACGATCATAATAATTAATAGCACAAGCTAACACTTTTCTTCAATTTCAAAATGCAAACGACTTTTTGCAAACTGGCTGCTCCATAACTGGCTGCATCAAGGCATCAAGAACCAAAACCTTGATTCGTGTTGTCAATATAAAATATTAAAAAATAAACCAGATGGTTCATTTTGAAGAAAAAAGGTTTAACTTCATGATAAAAAAAAATATTTTAGAGTTTTTCGTTCCAAAGCGAAGAGATTCAAAAGCAAAAATATAAAAAACATGCACTTAAAATACATCGGAAAAAGTATTAATTAGGAATTTATTTAAAAACTCGAAAATTGAAATTTGTAATTTATTTTACAAATGTACTGATCTTCGTGATGAATGTTGCAGTTTTCATGACAACGGTATACCCGCAATCCGGTATGCAGACATGCACACACACGCAAGTTCTGTATTTTACTTAATGTATAGATAGATTCATATTTCTTATTTTCATGAAAATAACAAGAGCATCTTACTTCGAAAAAAATTTAAGCCTTCATCTTCCCTTCGCAATGCATCTTCAACCACAGAGGACACTAATTCAGCTTCTTCTAAAAAGGACAAATAAATTATTTAAATCCCCAAAGAGATAAGCGATATCTATAACTCAAAATCAGACATTTGTGTTTTATATGATATTGTTATATAAACTATATAAGGAATCAATAATCTAATATATATAGTTCTCATACGTGGCTCCCAAATTTTGGCTGCATTTCTCTTCCACCGGTGGCAACGTTTGCTTTGTTTTGTTTACGTTACTATTTCCTTGCACGGCGACAAAAAAAGCCTCATTACAACTCCGACCAATAATTGCCGCTAAAAATGTCACATGCCAAATCTAGCTGAGGTGGCTCAACATACAGCGCTTTTAAAAACGGAAACTGAAATAACCAGAGAGCAGCAGCTGCGGCAATCTCATACTATTTAACTGGGCAGAAGTGAGTAGTCTTTGTCGATAGATCTCTTATTTATTATTTATACTAGCCGCCTAAGGCGGCCAGCTGTCCGCCACGCTGAAGGTTTTCACAAATAAAGTTTTTTAAAACGTAGCAGGAAATCTGAAGATTAGTGGACAATTAAAGTGTTCCTGTCCTGCAATTTTGTCTTCATATCCAGTTCTGCTGCAGATGTGTTATAGCTCTTGAGGATGTTTGAAATTATATAGCTACAACGCTTAAGAAAAAAAAAACTAAAATGCTAAATACATGAAAAGAACACGAAAACGAATAAATGTTTTATGGTATCAATTTCTATTTCTATATAATTTTTTATGGTATCAAATTCTATTTCTATATCTGTTACGTCAAGCACTCAGGTATTATAATTTGATCTAGTTGTGCTTGTATAATT